GACTTCTTAGTTCAGTTTAATAAGATCTACTTGTATATTTTCGATAAGACACCTTATACATTAAATAACCTATATATATTATATAATTATCATCAATCTTTTATTTTCAGATTTAAAAATAAAATCAAATGAAAAAAGAAATGAGAAAGAGAGAGAGGGAGAGAGAGAGAGGGAGAGGGAGAGGGAGGGAGGGAGAGAGAGAGAGAGAGAGAGAGAGAGAGAGAGAGAGAGAGAGAAAATTAAATATAAAATATGAAATAACAAAGAAATCTATCTATATAAAAATAAGGAATAACACAATCAAAGACATTATCTCATCAATCGGTACTTGTTATCGAGATATTGGATATATTTTCCTCTTTTATGGAAAAGTTATTATCGTATATTGGTATTGGAAGCATCTGTATTATGATGACCATAACTGTTATTAACATCATGATAAACTGAAAAAAATGCATATTAAATTATTACACACAATGAATTTATAATAAAGATTATAAATTAATTGCATGTAAAATTATAAAAGAAAGACAGAGACCGAAAAAAAGAATAACATTACTGTGTGATTAATTTATAAAATATAAATTTTTATTACATAATTAAATATAATAATAAACATGTAAAATGCGATAAAAAAGTATATAAATAATAATTTGTAACATAATAATTTATAGTATGATAAAATAATATAATTATTGATAATAATTTATAGCATAATAAAGTATACAAGAGGATAATTATATAGAGAAACTAACTTTTCGCAGAAGACCACTGCCAAAATAGAAACAACCCAATCCAGTGAATTTTAGTGGATGGTATATCATATACAATGTAAACTGATAAATCTGTACGAACAGAATTCTTATGCACATATATACATATACAGAACTATTATTATTTAAGAAATTTATGTAAAATATTTTTTTGTATTATAAAAATTTTATTTTACTTCGTCACGAATATCAGCATATCGAAGAAAATCTGTTAGTTGATGAATAATTCTTTCCATTTCATTAGCCTAAAGAAATAATTAATATTTTATTAATAATAATAATCAATTATATATGTAATTATATGTAAATATGTAAATGTATGTTATATGTAAATATGTTAATATGTAAATATACATATATATATATATATACAGGGTCTACCAAAAGTGTGGAAACCCCTAAATATCTCGGAAAATATCCGTTTTACAGAAAAGTGTTTCCAACAAAAGTTGTAGGGTTTAAGAAGATCTATATACTGATTCTATCAGTTTGACCTTGGATGGCGTCGTCAAGGTCATGTCAAGGTCGACTTGAATTTTTTAAATGGGAACCCCTATTTTTCATTGCATATTCTTGTAGCTTATCTCGAGAGCTTTCCAAAACATTATAATTAAGTACCTTTTTATTAAGTTCTTTTTGAGTTATAAGGCTTGAAATAATTTCTTAATTTTATATAAACCATAAAATATCTAGTAAACCATTCATTTTTCGATTATCTTACCTTCATACTTTTATGTACAAAATAATGAGAGGAATCAATTGGTGTAAAGAAAACATACAGTTGTTTTTAAGAAAAAATATGGAATTGTTAATTGCAAATTACATATTTTTTCTTAGAAACAACTATGTGTTTTCTTTACACCAATTGATTCCTCTCATTATTTTGTACATAAAAGTATGAAGGTAAGATAATCGAAAAATGAATGGTTTACTAGATATTTTATGGTTTATGTAAAATTAAGAAATTATTTCAACCCTCATAACTCGCAAAGTACTTAATAAAAATGAACATTATTATAGTGTTTTGGAAAGCTCTTGAATTAAGCTATAAGAATATGCAATCAAATGTAGGGGGTGTCATTTAAAAAAGTCAATGTGACCTTGACCTGACCTTGACGACGCCATCCAAGGTCAAACTGATAGAATCAGTATATAGATCTTCTTAAACCTTACAACTTTTGTTGGAAACACTTTTCTGTAAAACGTATATTTTCCGAGATATTTAGGGGTTTCCACACTTTTGGTAGACCCTGTATATATATATATATATATATATTTATCGGGCGGTTCACATAACTGTTAACATTTTAATACTTTCAAGAACTATGAGATCAATTTTAATTTGATCTTGAATTTTATAAATCATTGAACCTTTAAATCTATGTTAAGATCTTCTTCTAAACAGAAAGCGCAACTTTAAAATTTCCAATGAATATAAAATAAATATTTTTCGTAATCTGTATTTGAAAACAAACATTTTTATGAGTTATGTGAATCACTTTGTATTAAAAATTTACCTTAGTGCTGACATGTTCACAAATGTAATTTAAACAGAAGATCCTAATCACACATAAGAATACCCATATTTGGATATTAAGCCAAGATAATAGTGGTAATTTTGAGAGAAATTTCGTTTGTCCAAGTAGATAAAAATATCCACAAAATGTTGCGAAAGATATCATATAAGTTATCATTTGCATAGTTATATGTATGCCAAATATTTCGTTTAATTCGCGAGAAATTCGACACAATTCCAAATGGAGATGCTTTCAAGAAAACAAGATTTATTAATGAGGAAACATAGAAAAAGCATATGTAAATAAAGAAAAGAATTATTATGTGATATTTGTATAAATCGAATTTCCCCACCGATTTTCAAAAATCTAAATTATTAAATTTATTAGTTTAATAGTCTCCAGAAATTACAGATATATTTGGACAGATATGTGTATCGATTTACATTAATGTCCATAGTATTTGTTTGTAATAGTTAGTATGCGTCACATATCTAGGAATCAATACAGTGTTTTTCCACGTGCATCGTGATCCATATTCCTGTTTTATTAGCAGACATCTCATGTGCTTGTTTACTTCGTCAAATCTGATACCAATATACCTGTGTTACAAAATAAAAGCACTTATTATATAGTTTAAAATATATCGAACATAAATTATTTTGAAAATATTTTAAAAAATATTATATTTTTGTCATATAAAATATTTTATACTTTTTATCAGTATTATACCCTTATACACACATATTTTCACTCAATTTGTAATGCATATATACATATATATATATATATATATATATATATATATATTAATTATGTTTATTATTAAAATATAATAAAATATATATGTTTTGGAAATAATACTAACCATAGAAGAGCTACAAATAATATATCCATAAATGTGTTAACGTGCTTATGGTGATTTGTGATATAAATTAAAATTAAGACGTATTGATTTTCTAACGATTTCCACCATATCATATCATTTATATTGATTATATTTGTAAACACTAACCATCCAATTAATAATCGTTTTGCATATACGTGCACTTTGTGATATAACTTTAAAGTGCCTAATTTTTCTAACGTGTTGTCTACAGCAGCAAGTCTCTTTATAAATATCCAAAATCTCTAAACAATATTAAACAAGAACAATATTAAGCAGTATTCAGGATATATATTTAATTTTCTATTTATAATGTATATATAACTTTGCTGCATTCATTTTACACAAAATATAATATTTTAATTATTTCCATTATTAATTTCAATATTGAGAATATGTATACATGTGTGTGTGTGTGTGTGTGTGTGTGTGTATGTGTGTGTGTGTGTGTGTGTGCGCGCGCGCGCGCGCGCGTGTGCGTGTGCGTGCGCGCGCGCGCGCGCGCGTGTGTGTGTGTGTGTGTATACGTACCTTATTATAATAAATATTCGTAATAACAGATATGATAATGATCAAATAGGAAACTAGTACAGCGATTATATTATAAGATTTAAAAAACCATCATTCTACTTTAAACTCGATTATTACGTAATAAAATAGACAAGGATAAATAATCCAAACTATCAGATTATAAAAAATATTTAAATAAATTTTCTTTGACAAGTAAGCACCAAAACCGAGAAGAGAAGAGGTTAACAGCAAAGGATATAAAGCTTCTTCTATAGTGATCGCCATAATTACATCACCTTTGCGGTTTTTGAACGAACTGACAAGTTTGCACAAATTCATTTTAATTGGACACTTATTAAAATGATGGAATCAATTGTAAAGCAATTGGAATGATGGTATATTAATTGAATTGATACATTAGCGCTATGCATTATGTAATACCTTCAATATCATATGCACAAGGAAATCGATCGATTTTACTGAATTAATCAGTATTAACGCCAATAATTAGCAAATGGCTTTTTTATAGAAACAGCTAAAGTATTTACATTTTTATTAAAATTGTATAAGAAATAATGATTAAACTTCAATACTTTTTAACCAGTTTTTGTATCTTCTAACCAGATTATGTATCTAAATCAGAGCTCGGCAAAAACTGCACATTTCGGCCGATTTTCAGCTGGATCCGTCTAGCGCGTCCCCCCTTTCCTCGTCGTCTCGCGCAAAGCCGACGAGCCGCTCAGCGGTCAGGAGCGGGCGTATGGCAATTTCCACGTCACCCATGAGGTAGTATTGTTGACGGGTTTTTTTTTGAAGTGATATCCCCAGTAGGCCTAATCCACTGATGACTAAAACGACCCTTTAGCTAATTGCATAAGACGATAAAGTTTATCACGTCTTATGCGACTTGCTACATGCCGTATGCAAATAGATGTTCCTGATCTCGCTTATAAAAAATCCCGAAAGTCATAAATTCATCATATCAATTATTATTTATAATTCCGTGCAATTAGTTAAAGGGTCGTTTTAGTCATCAGTGAATTAGGCCTACTGAGGATATCACTTAAAAAAAACTCGTCAACAATAGTACCTCATGGGTGACGTGGAAAGCTATTGCCATATGCCCGCTCTTGAGCGCCGAGCGGCTCGTAGGCTTTACGCTAGACGGAGCCAGCTGAAAATCGGTGGAAATGTGCAGTTCTTGCCGAGCTCTGCATTATTTTATCAAGTTATGTTTAATGCAAGTCTGCGTATACAGCGACACCTATATAATATATGAATTTCAATGTCAGTATATATATTCAGACACTCAGATGCAGTTCTCTTATTATAAGTGTATCACTCGACACGTTGTATTCGCTTAGATATGTTGAGCAAGCTGCAGATAGTCCTTTGCCTTCTTAATATCGCTGCAATGATCGTTCCTATACAATCGAACAGGCAAGCTTCATCGAAGCGGTTTCGTAATCTGTACAGTGATGATGTAAATATATCGAATGTAACAAATGTCTTCAGAGCGAGTGTCGGACTTTTGAACTTTTTGGACCAGGGTCAACGTTATCTAAATAAGGAATTACCGGATATTACCCCTAAATTCGGAGATGTATACGATTTTGTGGTGATTGGTGCCGGTACAGCTGGTGCTGCGATAGCCGCGAGATTGAGTGAAATTTCTCAGGTCAAGGTATTATTGATCGAAGCTGGATCTAATGAGAATTTAATCATGGACATTCCGTTAACCGCTTACATTCTACAACTAAGTAATGACGTTAATTGGAAGTATCGAACCAAGCCATCCAACAAATATTGTCTCGGTATGAACGACAAAAGTTGTAACTGGGCGAAGGGAAAAGTGATGGGCGGCAGCAGCGTGTTAAACTATATGATTGCTACCAGAGGCGGCGCCGAAAATTACGATCGCTGGGCTAAAATGGGAAATGAAGGTTGGGCTTACAAAGACGTTCTCAAATACTTCAAGAAATTGGAAACAATCGATATTCCGGAATTGAAATCGGATACTATCTATCATGGAAAAAAGGGACCATTGAACATCGCTTACCCACATTTTCATACAGTATTAGCAAAGGCTTTCTTAAAAGCTGGCAAAGAGCTAAAATATCCTATAGTAGATTACAACGGAAAGGATATAATAGGATTTTCATATTTGCAGAGCACGATTAAAAACGGTATGCGCATGAGCAGTAATAGAGCATACCTATATCCTATACATGATCGCAAAAATCTTCACGTGACTCAAAAAAGCATCGTGAGAAAAGTATTAATAGATCGTCGTACAAATCGAACGATTGGTGTAGAGTTTACTAAATATGGTCGGATTATATCCGTGTTCGCAAGGAAAGAAGTAATATTATGCGCGGGTGCTATTGGATCGCCTCAATTACTAATGTTGTCCGGCATTGGACCGACTAAACATCTCACCAAACTCGGCATAGATGTTATTCGAAATGCGCCGGTCGGGGAAAATTTGATGGATCATGTATCCTTTGGTGGACTGACATGGATAACGAATGACCCAATAAGCTTAAAAATGCAGGACGTATTCAATCCTACGTATCCTTTTTTAGCGGATTTCTTAACAAAACAATCGGGACCATTTACAATTCCGGGTGCATGTGAGGCTCTTGGTTTCATCAATACTAAGGATCCAGAAAAACACAGCGGTTTACCGGATATAGAATTATTGTTTATCGGTAGTGGTATCAAAGGAGATCTTCTTCTTCCGATTGTAATGGGTTTGAATCCTGAAATGCGTCAAATATGGAATAAATATATCTATAAATATGGCTGGACAATAATGCCAATACTGTTGAAACCAAAAAGTCGTGGACGGATAAGATTATTGGCTAATGATGTTAATGTTAAACCTGAGATTGTGCCAAATTATTTCAATGATGTGGAAGATATCGAGACGATGATTGCTGGTATTAAGGTTGCGATAAAAATCGGTCAAACAAAGGCGATGCAGATGTTTGATTCGCAATTGTCTAATGATACTTTGCCCGAATGTGAAAATTACACTTATGATTCCTTTGCTTATTGGGAATGTGCAATCAGAACGATTTCTTTTACTATGTATCATTACTCCGGTACTTGTAAGATGGGGCCGAGAGAGGACCCAACTGCTGTCGTCGATCCTAAATTAAAGGTATTTGAAAGACACGATAACATATTTATAAAGTACAATTTATATTATAATTTACAACGTTTATATATAAATTTATGAATTTACACAATTTTGCAAGCTAATGTTTTGCATAGGTAATCGGTGTTCAAGGATTGAGAGTAGCAGATGCATCTATCATGCCTGAAATTATAGCGGGGCATACAAACATACCTACTTATATGATTGCCGAAAAACTAGCAGATATGGTTAAAGAAGAATGGGGATACTTGAAGAAGTCACAATCGTAATATTTCACAAAATAGTTATACCAATTTTCACACGTAATGTTTTGTAAACAATCAAAGTTGTAAACAAAATGCTCAATTAAAATAAAGTTAGGCAAAACTCATTCGATTAATTAAAAAAAAATGATTCTAAAAAATATTAAAAAAGAAAGCAAAGAAAAAAAACAAGTGTTATTTAAATTATTTCATTTAAGTTATTCAAGTTATGTCAAGTAATTTCTTCTTTAATTTCTTCATATTGTATTTAAATTATTACAATTATTTCACTATTATTTACATTTAAGTATATTAAACAACAATTATAACATTTAAGTATGTTAAAGAAAACACAGAAAAATTAAGGTTAATAAAGTTATAAAAATTAGATTACAAAATTATTTTCAAAAAAAAACATTTAAAGAGTCTTTGTGTAGCATTAAATATTTATACATCAAAATATTTATTTATTAAAAATACCAAATAGGAGAAAAAATAGATATTTACGAATATGAATATTTATTTGTAAAATACTGTTTTAATGAGATAATAAAAATAATAAAAATTTTTATGAAAGAATATTCTAATTTTTATGCCGATTATTTTTGCTGTATTGTACTATCTTATTATTTGTTATTAATTTCATTACAAGTACTGTAAATTAGAACACTACGTTCACAATCAAATATTCAATCTTCTCAATTTTCTCAAATTAACTTTAAATAATGCGTTATTACATATTAAACTGTTTTATTTCTAGCAATGATAGAAAACGAAAAATAATAGATCGAATTTGCAAATATTTTAGATTTATATACACATAATTCAAAGTACAATACTTTTAAATATTATTTACTTTCTGATAGTTTTAATTTTTTATTTTTATTATTTGGAATCAATAGAAGCTAATTTGTTTAAAATCAAAACAATTAAAAAAATTTTTCTACCTTCACATATTATAAATCACATATTATAAACGTCAGTAAAAATAGGGATATATGAGAGAAGATCAACGAGTCTTATTCGGTCAATTCGGGCAGAATTGACATTGACGCATATTCCGTGAAGAGAGCATTCACATTGCTCAGCCCAACGAATAATTACTAGAAAACAATATTCGTGGACTAGAAAAATGTATGAGGTGCGAGTGACTGAATCGGGAATCAAACCCGAGGTCTTCCACATTCCGGGCAACTGCTCTAAACTCACTGAGCTAGAACGTCATTTAATGTTTTTATATACAGGGTATATAAAAACAGCGAGACTCTAAACAGCTAAACTCACTGAGCTAGAACGTCATTTAATGTTTTTATATACCCTGTATATAAAAACATTAAATGACGTTCTAGCTCAGTGAGTTTAGCTGTTTAGAGTCTCGCTGTTTTTATATACAGGGTGTCAAGGAATTTTTGATCTTTACGAAGTAAGGAGGTAGATTGGCTCGAGTTAAGAAAGAAGGACCTCTATTGTTTTGTGATTGTCGCAATAATTAACGAAAAATTAAATGATGAAAATCGGTCTTCGCCACGCATTTACACACTCATCGCTCCTTCCCCAATCACCGCTTCGCCGCGCATCGTCATTATGTTACAATCAGATCGCCTTCGCCGTCGTGTGCTTCTAGCCACTACATTGGCCGATCTTCTTTATTTAATTTTTCGTTAATTATTGCAACAATCACAAAACAATAGAGGTTCTTCCTTCTTAATTTGAGACAATTTACCTCCTTACTTCATGAAGGCCAAAAATTCCCTGATACTCTGCAGATTCCTGAGCAATATATGCAAAGATTTTCTTGTTCGATATATGGAATGCCGATTGGCACGAAGGATACTTAACAGTGACTCTTAATACTCGGATCCAGTTTTTTATCAGTTTTTTATGTATTTGGCGTCGCAATGCTACCGCGTCGCTTGATTCAAATCAATTATAAAAATATTTGAATATGACTATTTTAAATGTATTTGTTTTATTTAAAATTCTTTATATGTTTGATTTCAATTTATTTTCATATAATTGTATTTTACGTGCGCCGCGTCGACGCCATGAATGTTTTATCATATAATATTATGCTGCTTGAGGGCTTCTTTGAGTTTAAATATTTTTGTAAATTGCATTAAATAATATAATATTTATAAGTGTATGATATGTATAAAAATTAACTCTCCAAAAATTAATTATTAAAGAAAGCATGTTAAGTTGATATTTGAATCAAATTCTTCTCGAAAATCTCGAAATTTATTATTATTATTATAATATTTATTATAATTATTATTATATTTCTTTTCCATACATCTATTGACTATTTTATTGTAAGCACACACAATTGTCATCATTTAATTTATTATTATTATTATAATATTTATTATAATTATTATTATATTTCTTTTCCATACATCTATTGACTATTTTATTGTAAGCACACACAATTGTCATCATTTAATTTTATTCTTCTTTTTAGGCCTTTTACATGTCTTATTAATATCTATATGTATATTTACATATAAGTATTTTTTATATGAATTATATTATATAAATTATATGAATTTATAAAAATATCAAATATATAATTTATCATATATCCCACATAAATACATCATGATGTATAAATGAGTTGTTAAGTACATAAATCATTTAATTTATCGAAATATCATAATATATCATAATATCGAATACACATGGTATTTGCAATTGACTTATATTTTTCTGGATGCATGATTTTTATATCTAGAACGATACACAATTTGTACATTAATAATGTACATTTTGTACAATAATAATGTACAATTTGTACACAATTTGTATATTACATTTCCTGTAGAATTGTATTATTTTGAAGAATTCTATGAATGAAAAAGTCTATTTCTTAAAGAAAAATTAAAAAATATCAATCAAAAAGTCGGCATTATTTGAGCCATCATTCTATCTCCAATATTCTAAAAATATGCTTAACTAAATGTTTTCAGGTGTAAATCCTCCGATTGTACGTGAAATATAAATAACTGCAAACCGGATTTTGCATAAAATTCCACAATTTCCAATTGAATATATATATATTATCATCTATAATGTGGAATAAAAAAATATATATTATCATCTATAATGTGAAATAAAAAAATAAATAAAATTTTTTTTACATCCGTAATTGTGATTTTTAATTGTTTTTTGAGATAAATTTTTCAATCATATGATATATTTAATATAAGTAAAAAAGTTTTCATTATCTATCTGTAACTTCATATAATTATTAAATATCATAGTATTTTTGAATCTGTAGCTTAGCAATAAAGTTTTTTCTACAAAGTACCGTATATATACAGCATATTTTAAAATAAATAAATTGTTTCATTAGCAAATCGATGATGATCGCATCTTATTATTCGCGCAAATGAGTCTTCTATTTTAAAATAACTGATTATACAAGTTTTCTCTTTAAATAGACAGTGTTGTGTCGTGACTTAACCATCGCAGAAAAAAAATATCAGCCGCATTTTGAAAAATTCGCTGTAGTCCTAACACATCAAATTAAAAAATTGCAGATTAGAAAAAATGAATTGAGTTCTCAAATTGTTAACGATGTGCGGTGAAAGTTTTGCATTTTGGCTTTTTATAATTTTACGTCTCACTTCATCTTTAACGACTCTGCGAAACTTCACAAGTGACAACAAAAAGAACATCATATGGGAGGAGACATATAATCATATGAACTTTATTAAAAACGAAACATAATAATAATAATAATAATAATAATAAAAAAAATAAAAAATAAATAAAAAAAAATAAATAAAAAATAAATAATAAAAAATAAATAAAAAAAAATAAATAATAATAATAATAATAATAATAATAAAAATCACATTGTTTCATACGAAAAATGCGACAATATTACTTGCATTCAGCTCTGTTGTCCGCTCGGTGATCGCTTGGTTGAGAATTGCATTGCTAGTGAAAATGAATATATTTTACCAAACATATATAGCTACTCGAACAATTCGATACAGAGCGAAAATAAGAAGGTGGACTAGCTTTTTCCACTAATTGTTGAAAATCCGTGCCAGGAAACTATATGTTTTCTTCTTTATCCGGACCATTATTTCATGTACTTGAAGTATATGTTTTTCGCAAACAGCTCTCTGTATCTTCCTTATTTCGACATATTTGTCGAATCAACATCTTATTATTTGGCCATCGTGGATCATAATCAATTCGATGCAATTATCTGCTTGGAAGCTGTGAACGAAATCATCGATAAAAAAAAGGATAACATGATAAACGATCTGATAAATGAAATCTCAAACGAATTAAGATTTTTATTTTTGAGTTGTCGCATAGTGTCTATGTTGTGTTTGCTGACAATATTTGTGGTGTATTCTATACTGCCGGAGCTTCGTAACATACATAGTTTCATGCTGCGCAAATACTGCAGTTTGATATTTTTCGGATACATAGTTGACACTATGGTTTCCAATTCAATCCAATCAACATAATAGATTATTCATATTTCATCTGTGTTATAATTGGTACAGTACAGCCAAATATAATAATGCAGTCAATGCTGTGTGTACATTAGTTTTTTAACGTAAAACACAATTTAAATTACTTTGAATATAATTACTTTGAATAATATTATTTTCACAATATTCAAATTTTGTAGAGTTATATATTTCTGATATCAAAACACTATTTAATTTAATATTAGCACGCATCCTTTTCCGCGATGCCAATTGGTTCTTTTCAGCTGTTATTTGCGATTATTACAAATTTTAACAGCTTGTGTGACAATGAGAAATGTATATATAATAAAAGTGAATAAATGGCGTGCGCAAAGCGCTCGCTTTACGTCGTCTAGTAGAATTAAAATATAAATGTTAAATTGTAATTAAAATATAATTATAACGATTTATAATTTACAATTTACAAATTTATGATGCTATCAATAACAAATAATAATATTCCATTTATTCAATATTTAATAACATCGATATAATAATTTGATATTCATAGCATTAACATTTAGATTTAATATATTTGATTTAATACACATATATTTTTAACTTTTAAAATAAAATATAACATGTTATTTTTTAAACGTTAATAATTATACAATTTCTTTAATATTTCTGAAGATAATTTTGATGATTTAAATTTC